GGGTTAGGGTTAGGGTTAGGGTTAGGGTTAGGGTTAGGGTTAGGGTTAGGGTTAGGGTTAGGGTTAGGGTTAGGGTTAGGGTTAGGGTTAGGGTTAGGGTTAGGGTTAGGGTTAGGGTTAGGGTTAGGGTTAGGGTTAGGGTTAGGGTTAGGGTTAGGGTTAGGGTTAGGGTTAGGGTTAGGGTTAGGGTTAGGGTTAGGGTTAGGGTTAGGGTTAGGGTTAGGGTTAGGGTTAGGGTTAGGGTTAGGGTTAGGGTTAGGGTTAGGGTTAGGGTTAGGGTTAGGGTTAGGGTTAGGGTTAGGGTTAGGGTTAGGGTTAGGGTTAGGGTTAGGGTTAGGGTTAGGGTTAGGGTTAGGGTTAGGGTTAGGGTTAGGGTTAGGGTTAGGGTTAGGGTTAGGGTTAGGGTTAGGGTTAGGGTTAGGGTTAGGGTTAGGGTTAGGGTTAGGGTTAGGGTTAGGGTTAGGGTTAGGGTTAGGGTTAGGGTTAGGGTTAGGGTTAGGTTAGGGTTAGGGTTAGGGTTAGGGTTAGGGTTAGGGTTAGGGTTAGGGTTAGGGTTAGGGTTAGGGTTAGGGTTAGGGTTAGGGTTAGGGTTAGGGTTAGGGTTAGGGTTAGGGTTAGGGTTAGGGTTAGGGTTAGGGTTAGGGTTAGGGTTAGGGTTAGGGTTAGGGTTAGGGTTAGGGTTAGGGTTAGGGTTAGGGTTAGGGTTAGGGTTAGGGTTAGGGTTAGGGTTAGGGTTAGGGTTAGGGTTAGGGTTAGGGTTAGGGTTAGGGTTAGGGTTAGGGTTAGGGTTAGGGTTAGGGTTAGGGTTAGGGTTAGGGTTAGGGTTAGGTTAGGGTTAGGGTTAGGGTTAGGGTTAGGGTTAGGGTTAGGGTTAGGGTTAGGGTTAGGGTTAGGGTTAGGGTTAGGGTTAGGGTTAGGGTTAGGGTTAGGGTTAGGGTTAGGGTTAGGGTTAGGGTTAGGGTTAGGGTTAGGGTTAGGGTTAGGGTTAGGGTTAGGGTTAGGGTTAGGGTTAGGGTTAGGGTTAGGGTTAGGGTTAGGGTTAGGGTTAGGGTTAGGGTTAGGGTTAGGGTTAGGGTTAGGGTTAGGGTTAGGGTTAGGGTTAGGGTTAGGGTTAGGGTTAGGGTTAGGGTTAGGGTTAGGGTTAGGGTTAGGGTTAGGGTTAGGGTTAGGGTTAGGGTTAGGGTTAGGGTTAGGGTTAGGGTTAGGGTTAGGGTTAGGGTTAGGGTTAGGGTTAGGGTTAGGGTTAGGGTTAGGGTTAGGGTTAGGGTTAGGGTTAGGGTTAGGGTTAGGGTTAGGGTTAGGGTTAGGGTTAGGGTTAGGGTTAGGGTTAGGGTTAGGGTTAGGGTTAGGGTTAGGGTTAGGGTTAGGGTTAGGGTTAGGGTTAGGGTTAGGGTTAGGGTTAGGGTTAGGGTTAGGGTTAGGGTTAGGGTTAGGGTTAGGGTTAGGGTTAGGGTTAGGGTTAGGGTTAGGGTTAGGGTTAGGGTTAGGGTTAGGGTTAGGGTTAGGGTTAGGGTTAGGGTTAGGGTTAGGGTTAGGGTTAGGGTTAGGGTTAGGGTTAGGGTTTTAGGGTTAGGGTTAGGGTTAGGGTTAGGGTTAGGGTTAGGGTTAGGGTTAGGGTTAGGGTTAGGGTTAGGGTTAGGGTTAGGGTTAGGGTTAGGGTTAGGGTTAGGGTTAGGGTTAGGGTTAGGGTTAGGGTTAGGGTTAGGGTTAGGGTTAGGGTTAGGGTTAGGGTTAGGGTTAGGGTTAGGGTTAGGGTTAGGGTTAGGGTTAGGGTTAGGGTTAGGGTTAGGGTTAGGGTTAGGGTTAGGGTTAGGGTTAGGGTTAGGGTTAGGGTTAGGGTTGGTTAGGGTTAGGGTTAGGGTTAGGGTTAGGGTTAGGGTTAGGGTTAGGGTTAGGGTTAGGGTTAGGGTTAGGGTTAGGGTTAGGGTTAGGGTTAGGGTTAGGGTTAGGGTTAGGGTTAGGGTTAGGGTTAGGGTTAGGGTTAGGGTTAGGGTTAGGGTTAGGGTTAGGGTTAGGGTTAGGGTTAGGGTTAGGGTTAGGGTTAGGGTTAGGGTTAGGGTTAGGGTTAGGGTTAGGGTTAGGGTTAGGGTTAGGGTTAGGGTTAGGGTTAGGGTTAGGGTTAGGGTTAGGGTTAGGGTTAGGGTTAGGGTTAGGGTTAGGGTTAGGGTTAGGGTTAGGGTTAGGGTTAGGGTTAGGGTTAGGGTTAGGGTTAGGGTTAGGGTTAGGGTTAGGGTTAGGGTTAGGGTTAGGGTTAGGGTTAGGGTTAGGGTTAGGGTTAGGGTTAGGGTTAGGGTTAGGGTTAGGGTTAGGGTTAGGGTTAGGGTTAGGGTTAGGGTTAGGGTTAGGGTTAGGGTTAGGGTTAGGGTTAGGGTTAGGGTTAGGGTTAGGGTTAGGGTTAGGGTTAGGGTTAGGGTTAGGGTTAGGGTTAGGGTTAGGGTTAGGGTTAGGGTTAGGGTTAGGGTTAGGGTTAGGGTTAGGGTTAGGGTTAGGGTTAGGGTTAGGGTTAGGGTTAGGGTTAGGGTTAGGGTTAGGGTTAGGGTTAGGGTTAGGGTTAGGGTTAGGGTTAGGGTTAGGGTTAGGGTTAGGGTTAGGGTTAGGGTTAGGGTTAGGGTTAGGGTTAGGGTTAGGGTTAGGGTTAGGGTTAGGGTTAGGGTTAGGGTTAGGGTTAGGGTTAGGGTTAGGGTTAGGGTTAGGGTTAGGGTTAGGGTTAGGGTTAGGGTTAGGGTTAGGGTTAGGGTTAGGGTTAGGGTTAGGGTTAGGGTTAGGGTTAGGGTTAGGGTTAGGGTTAGGGTTAGGGTTAGGGTTAGGGTTAGGGTTAGGGTTAGGGTTAGGGTTAGGGTTAGGGTTAGGGTTAGGGTTAGGGTTAGGGTTAGGGTTAGGGTTAGGGTTAGGGTTAGGGTTAGGGTTAGGGTTAGGGTTAGGGTTAGGGTTAGGGTTAGGGTTAGGGTTAGGGTTAGGGTTAGGGTTAGGGTTAGGGTTAGGGTTAGGGTTAGGGTTAGGGTTAGGGTTAGGGTTAGGGTTAGGGTTAGGGTTAGGGTTAGGGTTAGGGTTAGGGTTAGGGTTAGGGTTAGGGTTAGGGTTAGGGTTAGGGTTAGGGTTAGGGTTAGGTTAGGGTTAGGGTTAGGGTTAGGGTTAGGGTTAGGGTTAGGGTTAGGGTTAGGGTTAGGGTTAGGGTTAGGGTTAGGGTTAGGGTTAGGGTTAGGGTTAGGGTTAGGGTTAGGGTTAGGGTTAGGGTTAGGGTTAGGGTTAGGGTTAGGGTTAGGGTTAGGGTTAGGGTTAGGGTTAGGGTTAGGGTTAGGGTTAGGGTTAGGGTTAGGGTTAGGGTTAGGGTTAGGGTTAGGGTTAGGGTTAGGGTTAGGGTTAGGGTTAGGGTTAGGGTTAGGGTTAGGGTTAGGGTTAGGGTTAGGGTTAGGGTTAGGGTTAGGGTTAGGGTTAGGGTTAGGGTTAGGGTTAGGGTTAGGGTTAGGGTTAGGGTTAGGGTTAGGGTTAGGGTTAGGGTTAGGGTTAGGGTTAGGGTTAGGGTTAGGGTTAGGGTTAGGGTTAGGTTAGGGTTAGGGTTAGGGTTAGGGTTAGGGTTAGGGTTAGGGTTAGGGTTAGGGTTAGGGTTAGGGTTAGGGTTAGGGTTAGGGTTAGGGTTAGGGTTAGGGTTAGGGTTAGGGTTAGGGTTAGGGTTAGGGTTAGGGTTAGGGTTAGGGTTAGGGTTAGGGTTAGGGTTAGGGTTAGGGTTAGGGTTAGGGTTAGGGTTAGGGTTAGGGTTAGGGTTAGGGTTAGGGTTAGGGTTAGGGTTAGGGTTAGGGTTAGGGTTAGGGTTAGGGTTAGGGTTAGGGTTAGGGTTAGGGTTAGGGTTAGGGTTAGGGTTAGGGTTAGGGTTAGGGTTAGGGTTAGGGTTAGGGTTAGGGTTAGGGTTAGGGTTAGGGTTAGGGTTAGGGTTAGGGTTAGGGTTAGGGTTAGGGTTAGGGTTAGGGTTAGGGTTAGGGTTAGGGTTAGGGTTAGGGTTAGGGTTAGGGTTAGGGTTAGGGTTAGGGTTAGGGTTAGGGTTAGGGTTAGGGTTAGGGTTAGGGTTAGGGTTAGGGTTAGGGTTAGGGTTAGGGTTAGGGTTAGGGTTAGGGTTAGGGTTAGGGTTAGGGTTAGGGTTAGGGTTAGGGTTAGGGTTAGGGTTAGGGTTAGGGTTAGGGTTAGGGTTAGGGTTAGGGTTAGGGTTAGGGTTAGGGTTAGGGTTAGGGTTAGGGTTAGGGTTAGGGTTAGGGTTAGGGTTAGGGTTAGGGTTAGGGTTAGGGTTAGGGTTAGGGTTAGGGTTAGGGTTAGGGTTAGGGTTAGGGTTAGGGTTAGGGTTAGGGTTAGGGTTAGGGTTAGGGTTAGGTTAGGGTTAGGGTTAGGGTTAGGGTTAGGGTTAGGGTTAGGGTTAGGTTAGGGTTAGGGTTAGGGTTAGGGTTAGGGTTAGGGTTAGGGTTAGGTTAGGGTTAGGGTTAGGGTTAGGGTTAGGGTTAGGGTTAGGGTTAGGGTTAGGGTTAGGGTTAGGGTATTAGGGTTAGGGTTAGGGTTAGGGTTAGGGTTAGGGGTTAGGGTTAGGGTTAGGGTTAGGGTTAGGGTTAGGGTTAGGGTTAGGGTTAGGGTTAGGGTTAGGGTTAGGGTTAGGGTTAGGGTTAGGGTTAGGGTTAGGGTTAGGGTTAGGGTTAGGGTTAGGGTTAGGGTTAGGGTTAGGGTTAGGGTTTAGGGTTAGGGTTAGGGTTAGGGTTAGGGTTAGGGTTAGGGTTAGGGTTAGGGTTAGGGTTAGGGTTAGGGTTAGGGTTAGGGTTAGGGTTAGGGTTAGGGTTGTTGGGTTAGGGTCCCTTCAACTCCTCACCCCCTCAACCCCCTCCCCCCGCCCTCCCCTCAACCCTCCCTCCCCTCAACCCTCATACCCCTCCCCTCACCCCCTCCCTCCCCTCACCCGCCCTCCCTCGCCCTCACACCCTCCCTCCTCCCTTCGTCCCTAACCCCTCCTCCCCAACCTCTCGTAC